TAATAATACGTCGCTACCACCAACAGAAGCAGCAGCACGACAACATTCCTCCTGAAGCTATCACCAGCTTTAGCAGTGGTATGGAAATAAACAAAATGCAAAAGATATGTCAGAAAGCCTGTTGTGAAAAGGCTGGGTTTTAAACTGCTCCGTTATATGCACGTGATAACTCGCAAATTCCATTACAAGGTAGCGATGCAGAGGAAGAAACGGAGACTATTTTCGAGCAAACGTATAATGAAATCTAGAACGAAGACGATTGCAATGAAACTGATTATCTTATCGCGGACAATGTGGAAGAAATTTCGGTCTGTAGCATTTCGACCGGTACTAAAGACAATGAATTCGCAACACCTGGTCCATCAAGAACAGCGAAGCGGAGGAGAATTAACTAAATTTTGGAATAGAGAATTGCATGTAGGTAGATTAGGCCTACCTTTATTGCAAAAGAAAGATTCAAATTCCATTGCTTACATGTTGCGACTATTTAAGGATTATAATTCGTTATGGATTCAAACAAAGATAATATTAACTAATAAGGACTGTGGATCCAAGTTTTTCATCTCGAAAGCCCTTCGGATCACAGTTAAATACTTGAAAATTCATTAAAATTTAGGAGTTTTTTCCATTTTTGTCAATTTTTACCACCATGGACCTACGTTACGTCAAAAGTTATTATGGACACTTTTTAAGTAGACTACATTTGCAATCAAATGAGAATAAATTGGTTTTGTAATACAGTTTTTTTTTAGTTTTCGACAATTGTTACCCCTAAGTAGTGAGTTTATTGGAGAAGTTACTTTTTCCTTTACGCGTTTGGCGGTTGTGATACATTAGAAGCTTTTGGCCAAGGAAAAAAAATTCTATCGACAATAAAAAAAACAGCCACGCCTTGAACAAAACGCAGAAGTTTTCTTGAGCTCCAATGTTACACCTAAGCAAGTTGCCGACGCAGGAGAGAGCTTCCACGTTTCACTTTATGGAGGCAACAAAGAATCCCAAAATCTTATTGATCTTCGCTTTTAGATGTTCACTAGGGCGGCAGTTAATCCCAACAGAAACCTCGCCAGATTGCTTTCAACCAGGGATGCTGCAAGATTTCACTCTCCTTGAACATACCACCACATAAAAATAATTTTTTTGTTTGTATTCACATTCTTTATACATGGTTCCTTATTTTGTTGTTGATTTTGTTTCAGGTACAGAAGTGGCTGGGAAATGAGAAGAATCCTCTCGATTGGGACTGGATTAGGGGTACACAAGGTCTCGTTTCTCAACAGATGATAGCACCACCAGCTGCTTAAGCTCTGCTAAATATAGTTTTCTGTAACAGTTGAAAAAGTTGTATCAGCAGTTGTGTTTACAAGAAAGCAGGAATGAAATGCTCGGCTGTTTTCAGCTACTGCACTGGCCAATCTTGCGAAAATATACCAGACCTGATGTGTGGCGACATTAATGAACCATTCATTGATGACACACTATCAAATGACGATTTTGACCTTCCTGAGCAGTTTAATGAGGAAATTCTACCTCAGTAAGCTGCCCCCAAAAGGTGTGCTGTCCATCAAAACTATACAAAAAATCTGATGTGTCCAACACATGACTTTCCTATCTAGTTATTACAGGCTTTTTCAGGTTATTTTGTACAACCTATTGCAGCATCTCTATAAATGTTTAGAGGATAAACTAAATATATACATTGTCCACATACATCTACCGCGAAACATTTTTCTATAGATATTCATTGAAAATGAAAATACTGAAAAATTTAAATTTAGCACTTTTCCTACAATTTTTCCATTACGGTCCATTTTAAAAAAATCATGTATGAACAAATATTATAGAGATCGATATCGCAAACAACTTTTATTTCAACAATTTTCATAAAAATCAGAATTTTGCACATTTTGTCAAATTTTTCGAATACGGACCATTTCAGGAAATTTTTACATAAAACAAAAATTATAGATAATAATATTAGAAGTAACTTTTATTTGAGCAATTTTTTCTCCAAACATAAATAACAGATATATTCCATAAAATATAAAAACGGCCTCCCATAAAGTACCCCCCCAGATGTTCCGACTTTGTCCAAAATCTAATCATTTCACGTCAGGCCGAAATAAAACTTAAGTTTAAAATTTAATGTTTTTTTCTTCATCCGTTTTTGAGTTTTCTTCAAATTTCGAAATTTACACATTTTCTCAAATATCTCGAATACGGTCCATTTTAGAGAAATTGTGTATAGAATAAAAATTATAGAAAATTATATTACAAACAACTTTTATTTGAACAATTTTTATAAAAAATTATTTTTTTTACATTTTGTCAAATTTCTCGAATACGGACCATTTTAGGAAAATTTTATATAGAACAAAAATTATAGATAATAATATTGTAAGTAACTTTTATTTGAAGAATTTTCTTCTCCAAACGTAAATAACGAATGTATTCCATAAAATATAAAAATGACCACCTATAAAGTACCCCCCCAGATGTTCCGACTCTGCCCAAAATCTAATCAGCTCATTGGACGCTGAAACAAAGCTTAAGTTTAAAATTTGGTGTTTTTATGTGTATCGGTTCATGAGTTATGCGTTATACAGACACACACACACACACACACAGACACACACACAGACACACACACACACACACACACACACACACACACACACACACACACACACACAGACATCATCGCGAAAATAGTCAAAACGGATTCAGGGGACCTCGAAACGTAAAAATCCGTCAAAAACTCGAGGTCGAAAAAAATCATGATTCCTATACTTTCCTTATATCTGTATACAGATAGGAAAGTAAAAATGCGAGTAATAACTATTTCCCTGTGCTGTACATAAAATACAATGAGGCGTTTCATTATATTTTTCATAATATTGTTTTAATTAGTAAAATATTTATGTTGATAAATTATAATGCTTACTTCATTTTGCAAACCCTTCTAGTACATAATTGTTTACTTACCTCAACAACTTTAAACAGCTGTGTCTCGGGAACTATCAGGTGTAAGTTGACATAATTAGTCTCATTTTGTTGGGAATTTAGTGGACTTTAAGAACTAAAAAAAAAGTAACTTTTCCCATAAACCCACTCTTAAGGGGTAAAAACTGTCGAAAGTTTGCAAACTTTTAAATAGCCGTATCTTATAAACTATTTGACCTACCAAAACTAAATTATTTTCATTTCATTGCAAAATTAGTCTACTTAAAAAGTGTGCATTGTAACTTTTATCTAAACACAGGTCCTTGGTGGTAAAACTTGATAAAAACTGAAAAGTCCTAAAATATAAAGAATTTTTTAGTATTTAACAATGATCCGAAAGCTTTTGAGGTGGAAAATTTGGATTTGTCATTACCATCTCATCACTACCAACATATAAAAAAATCATAACTACCTCATTTGATGTAAGGCAAAAAGTACCAATCCCATGGACTTACATTAAAGACATTTCGCGTTAACGTAACGACTCAATCAATGGGCATTACTCGTATTAATGAAAGGAAAGTTGTTCTGAATTTTTTACAAAAAATTTGCTTACTCAAAAACCGAGGATGACTATAAAAAAAAACATAATTTTCTATTGCAGCTATATGTGCATCAGTCTCAAAATATTATAATGATAATTGGCACAATTGCAAAGATCCGAGGGTGGAGTCATTTAACCCAAAAATAAAGTCACTTTTTACAAAATAGGTATGATATATGGCAACATTTTTATGAAGAATTTAAAATTTTCCTCAAGTTTGTGATTATGTGTTTATATATTATGTCTAAGAAACTCTATACATTAACTCAATGTTCTTCGATTAAGAAGTATTTTGAAGTTGCTACTTCTTTTGCATTTACATTTACAGATAAGTCTTAAGAAATCGTTCACTATGTTCAATGGAGAACGACAGGATTATCGTGTTTTGAACAAATCCAACTTGAAAGTGTCACAAAATATTTACTTGGTGTAATAAAGAACTGATTCCCAACAGATTCAAGAAAAATTATAATATCAAATCTATGGTTTCAACTGTAAACCTATATCCAATGAAGATGTTAATATAAATGAATTAATAACTGAATATCAATTACCAAACCAGAATATTATAAAAGTTCATACACACGTAGCGCTATTTTAACACACCATCAACAATACATCAAAGTGTTGGCTGATATTAACCATATTTCAATAAACATTATTATTAATTGGAAACTTTGACTAACAAGTGATATTAACATAAAACTTCCTTAATAATTGAAGAAATTAATGCCTCTACCACAGGCAGTAATATGTGTAACATTAATAACAATATTGTTGAATGTGATACTAGTAGTACAAATCTGAATGAATACTTCAACCGCAAACAGTAACATTCATTATAACATCAAAAATAATGTTGTTAAATGTCACTGCTCGGAAGAACCTAAGTACATATAATTATATTCCTTTCCAAACATTGAGGATCTTCCGATGAATCAAGAATCTGATTGCTAAGAAAATAGCAGCCAGTAAATAAAGAAAATATAGTTGAGAAAACAGATAATTCTTTGAATAAATTTACCCAACTCAAATTTAAAATAAACAGAAGAGGAAGTCTCAAAGAAATAGGTAGGTGTTGAAGGAAGAAGAAAAAATGTGTTCCAATTTAACATCAAGCTCCATTGATATAATAAAAGAAAACATATGATTTGGCTATATATTTAGAAACAATGATTCAATAGTTTTATTTAAGAAAAAGAAGTTTACTTAGAAGATTATTTTTTTAAATTTTGAGTTTATTTATTCCTTTGACTTTATAATTAGTCAAAATTTTAGGTTTAAATCCATTATACTTTCCGCACCGACCAAATTTTGAAAAAAAAAAAAAAACAAAATACCACCAATTTGCATTAAGTTCGGTACTGTCGCTTTAATTTCGATTACGTTTCTTTATCTTGCTGAATTCCTATAAATAAAAGTATGTCTGTCAAGTTAATATTAAATAAACAAAATGTCGTTAGCGACTGCGGAACTTCCTACTTTATACCAGTACTACAGCGGTGAAAGCATCAAGGAGGGGTTGTCCGATCAAAGACCATATTTTACACTCAATAAAAAAAATATTACAATCTACAGTGGCGCTTTCCAGTATTTTAGGGTGCCAAGAGCTTATTGGCGAGACAGGTTTAGGAAATTGAAGGCTGCTGGTTTGAATACTGTCGAAACGTATGTACCTTGGAACCTACACGAACCTCAATCAGGTATTTTAGTGATTTTTCTATAAGTAAGGTTAGTAATTTAAGTAATTTTTCATGCCAATTTGACAGCTACATTTTCATTACCTAATTGATTCCGGGGTAGCTGTGTGCGAGTTAAGGTGTTAAGGTAATAGGTAAGGAATATAAAAACAAAAAACTAAAAAAAAAAACTAATATATATTTATCCTCTGGCACACCTAGTGGATAAAAGGAAACGTTGTGAATTATCTTGGAAAATAATATGAAAATAAATTTATGCAGAAATAACTAACAATAACAATAATACTAAGAATTTACTAAAAAAAAAATGTACTAACATAAAGTTAACAAGAATAATATAACTAACATTGTGTGTGAAGTTCGCTGAAAATTACAAAAGAAGATTATAATGAGGTCATTATAAAAGTAGAACGTCGACAAAGACAAAAAAAAAGAAATACAATCTGTGACAGCAAGGTAGAACATTTTTTGAAAAACTCACCATATTCTCTTTTCAATGGGCAAAATATAAATAATACACTAACAAGTATTATGGCTAAAACTATCTATCAATTTTAAATTTTTCACATCCAATTTCATATTTCAATTATAAGGGGGTGCTTTAGTCACCTTAAAGCTTTCAAAACCCGAGTAACAGATGTCTTACTAGCTCACACTTTTTATGTGTTGAGCAATACCTCCACTGTAATTTTACTTAAATATTATGTTATAATTTTACTTAAATGTTGTTATATTTTTAACCGACTTCAAAAAATGAAGAGGTTCTCAATTCGTCACGATATTTTTTTTTAGACTTATTTTAAAAGTCAAAATTAAAAATCTCCATCCATCTCCATCCGTTTCTTTTCCTATACTATAAATATTATTCAAAAATATCTGACAAATTAAAATTTTCTTTTAAAAATTGGGTGTTTCCTCTAAAAATTAAAAATAATTTACGACCTACTGTTATTTTCGGAAAACCGGTAGTAAACCATGATATCATATAATTAAATCTATTATAAGCAGTTATTTGGTTTTAATAATGCATTTCATATCTTTTTTCCTAAGTGTATTTATCATATTTTAGGAACTTACGACTTTGGCGAAGGCGGTTCAGATTTTGAAGACTTCTTGCATCTAGAAGAATTCTTAAAAACTGCCAAAGAAGAGGACCTATTCGCATTAATTAGACCTGGTCCTTATATCTGCGGCGAACTTGATTTTGGAGGGCTACCAAGCTGGATCCTTAGAAACACTTCGTCAGTCAGAAACTCACATGACAAAAACTACATTAATTATGCCAGAAGATATTTCAATGTACTTTTACCGCTTTTAGCGATGTTTCAATTTCAGAAGGGTGGTTCGATCATCGGATTACAGATTGAAAATGAATTCGGTGCTGCTTTTAGCTTCGATACCGAGTATTTAGAATTGTTGAAGCAAATGTTTCTAGACAATAACATAATTGAATTGCTGTATACATCTGATAATATAGGAACGGCTTGGGGACGAGGTACTATACCTGGGGTTCTACAAATGGCCAATATGAATTCAATGCCAAGAATGGAGTTAGATTTTTTGAAGATGGCACAACCTAATAAACCGGTGATGGTGATGGAGTTTTGGACTGGTTGGTACGATCATTGGGCTGATAACCATAATACTGGATCAAACTCTAAGGATTTTAAATCAGAGTTGACTGATATTTTAGATTATCCTTCTTCTGTAAACCTATATTTGTTCATTGGTAAGTTATCATAATTATTATTACATAATATCATTTATATAAAAGCATAGTTGTATATGAGATTTCAGTGCTCCTGTCTATTATTTTGTTATTACAAAATTCTCAGATATTAAAGTGTTTCTCTGTTCATATGTGTTGTTGCACCATCTTTTGAATATTCTATATATTGAAAAATAAGGAAATTGGGAATCAAAAAGATTATTTATACACCAAAATAAGTTTAAAAGGAATATATAATTATAAACATAAAAAACACATAGTTGACATAGAACATATAAAAATAAATAGAAAATTAATCATATTTCGTAAACAAGCGAAATAAAGTAAGCAGATAAAAATTAAATAGTAAAACAACTTAATCTAACCTAATGATAGTTCAAAACGACATCCATTTACAAAATCTGATATGTCCAACATATGACTTTCCTATCTAGTTATTACAGGCTTTTTTCGGTTATTTTGTACAAACTATTGTAGCACCTCTGTAAATATTTAGAGGTTAACTTAATATATACATTTTCCACATACATTTAACTCGAAACATTGCCAATTCATTGCCAACGAAAATGCTAAAAAATTTAAATTTAATACTTTTCCTCCAATTTTTCCATTACGGTCCATTTTAGAGAAATCATGTAAAAAAAATTATAGAGATCAATATCGCTAACATTTTTTAGTTAATTTTCTTAAAAATCAGAATTTTGCACATTTAGAAAATTTTCACGAATACGAACCATTTTAGGAAAATTTTGTATAAAAAAAAATTCGAGAATATTAGATGTAATTTTTATTTAAATAATTTTCTTCTCCAAACGTAAATTTTAGATATATTTCATAAAATATAAAAATGACCCCCTATAAAGTACCCCCAGGCCGGAATAAAGCATAAGTTTAAAATTTAAGATTTTTTCTTAATCCGTTTTTGAGTTTTCTTAAAATTCAAAATTTACACTTTTTCACAAATATCTCGAATACGGACCATTTTAGGAAAATTTTGTATGGAACAAAAATTATAGAACAGATATATTTTATAAGATATAAAAATGACCCTCTATAAAGTACCCCCCAGATGTTCCGACTCTGCCAAAATCTAATAAAGCTTGAGTTTGAAATTTGGTGTTTTTCTTTGTATCCGTTCATGAGTTATCGTAGATATAAACACAAGAACACGTTCACGCACACACACACACACACACACACACACACACACACACACACACACACACACACACACACACACACACACACACACACACATACACACATACACACACACACACACACACACACACACACACACACACACACACACACACACACACACACACACACACACACACACACACACACACACACACACACACACACACACACACACACACACACACACATACACACACACACACACACACACACAAATACACACAAATACACACAAATACACACAAATACACACAAATACACACAAATACACACAAACACACACAAACACACACAAACACACACAAACACACACAAACACACACAAACACACACAAAGACACAAACACACACAAACATACACACACACAGTACACACACACAGTACACACACGCACACACGCACACACGCACACACGCACACACGCACACACGCACACACGCACACACGCACACACGCACACACGCACACACGCACACACGCACACACGCACACACGCACACACGCACACACGCACACACGCACGCACGCTCGCTCGCACGCACACCAATTTCAGTTGCCTTATCTTTTTATATCATTACCTTTTCTTATGCCATAGTCTGTTCTTTCTAATTTTGTTTATTTATCCTACTATACTATTTTATTTTTAATAACATTACATCATATAAACTCATTTTATAATTCATATTTATTTATTACTATTTCATTAACTATTTCATAATATCTTTTTAGCTTCCTTTTACAATTATTATCTATGTTTTTCAAAATAAGATTTCTTTCAATTCAACATTCTATAAAATTCGATAACCAACCTTCTTAAAAAAAACACTGTGTATCAGATATTATTTACTCAAATAATAAATAAAATTCTTATTTCATGTTCTTATTTTCATTCTTTTTCCAAATTCAGACATTATTAAAATCTTATTTTCCAAAATTCTCAACTTCCGACTTTATTAATAGCTAGATAACTTAAAAAAAAATATCATAAGAATGTTGTATATCCCTCAGAACTAGAAACATCCGGATACAACTTGTACACTTGTTCAATGTTCCTTGCATCTAAACAAAGGCGTAAGTCCCCTGTCTTTTTTCTTACACTTGTAATGGCACTTATATAAGGTGAATCGCATCTTTCAATGATCCCCTCTGTAAGTATTTTATTAATTTCCTCATAAACTTCATCCTTTAGTTTGTATGGAATAGGATAAGTTTTCATTTTGAAATTCTGAATATCTTTAACTTTTATTTTATGAACCTAGTTTTTAGGAACCCTTATTTCTTTATTAAATAAATTTTCATTTTTTTCTAATAACTTTTTAACTATTTTATAGAATTTTTCTGGACGTCTTTGCCTAACTATTAAATTAAGTCTATAATCTAATAACTTATTATTTTCATTTTCACCCTGTATAATGAAAGATACTTTTCCTCTTGTACTTTTAAGTATTTGGCTCTATAATTGATTATCATTTGATGGTTTTTCATCTCATCAGACCCATAACCATGTATGTCATCAAATTTCTAAAAACAAGTAACTGCACTTTTAAATGAACACCATGTATTTGTATTTCATTTAATAAAGCTGTTGTAGATTCATTCATATTTTTCCCATTAGCTCCTACTAATGCTAATTTATTTTTTTTTAACTAAATTTATTTTGTCTTTGTTAATCTTCTTCAAAATTTCCTGTTTAATTAAAGAAACTTCTGACCCTGTATCTAATAAAATTTTAAATTAATAATCTAATAATTTTCCCTCGACAAAAATTAATCCTTAACCTTGATTTTCAAAATTGTCAGTTTCCTCTAATGTAAATTCCCTCGGAAGTTCATAATTTAAGCGATAGACAATGTTATTTATTTGATCGTGCTTTATACAAAATCCTGTTCCCTACTCATTCCAGGAGAACTGGCATTTTCTGGTATTGGATCTAATCGAATAAAATTTAACTCCCTTGAATTTTGATTTTCATGATTCTCTCCATGATCATCCTTTGCTTGTCTCCTTTGATTTTGATCATAATCTCCATAATTATTGTTCCTATAAATCGGGCGATTATTATAATTAAAATTATTCCCATTATAGTTTCTATTTCCTTGTCCTAATTTAAAATTCCTATCATAATTTTTATCAACATTATTATTAATATTTCTTCCTAAATACCCTTGTGCAAAATTTTCGGTACCTCTATTTTGATTGCCCTGTCCATAGTTTCTGTTATTTTTAAATTGATTATAATTCCCATTATTACTATTATTCCTGTTCTGATTAAATTGATTATAGTTTTCATCATTCCTGTTATCATAATTTTCCTTATTATTATATCCATAATTCCCTCGATTTTGTCCATCTTTAATAAAATTATTTCCCTTAAAATTGCTAGTTATTCTTTCAACTCTCTGTAAGTAGCTTGACAGACCTTCCAAAGTTTTAATATTATGTAAGGATATGGTTTCAGACACATCCTGTCTAAAATATCTAGAGATATAAAGAATTATTTCATCTTGTCGCATTTTGGGAACCAAATGTTGAGCTGTTATATAGTTGCGTTGCATAAGCATTTAAATTGTGATTCAAATTGTAATTAAACCTTCCAAAATATAATTTCTCTCTAAAAATCGATTGTTGCAATTCCCCCCAGAAATATTGTATAAAATGTTGTTCTAATATTACGAATGTCCACTTTTTTATTTCAAAACCATATTAAAGGATGCCCTAACATATTTCTTATTATTATTTTTGCATCTTCAAAATCTATTATATTTTTAATTCTGTTTTTAATTTTAATAACAAACACTTTCGGGTGAAGTTTTATAATATCTTTGTCAAATTTAATTCCCCCTTATTGACCTCCCAATTGAACTACATAACTCCCATTGGTAATCCCCCCTTGGCAAATATTTCCCTCAATTCTTCTAATATCTTCAACATTTTTCTGACACTCATTTATGATTTCCCTTTTTTCAGTCTCAATTTTTCCTGAAAGTTCTAATAATTTATGTTCATGCATCACTAACTTCTTCTTATGCCCCTCATTATTCTTTATTTGCCTTTTTACCTGTTCAAATTCATCCTCCAAACTAATTTTAGTGTTTTCAATACAATCCCCTTGATCTTTAACTATTGTCCCTAAATTTTCCAAACTATTCTGATATTCCATAATATTCCCATCTAATTGACTTTCAATTTCGCCCTGTATACTTCCCATGACTTTTTTTCTACTTCATCAATTTTTGAATCAATTCTGGCTTTTAATTTCTTCTCTGTGCTTTTAATTGTGGTTTCTATTTCTTGTACAGACTTCTTTTTAATATCTTCTTTTCTCTTTTCCTGTTCTGCAAATTAACGTTCAACTTTCACCTTATTTTCTTCTATCTCTCTTCTTGTTTCATAAATTTCATTTTTTAAACTTTCTTCCAACTTCTTGTTGCTTTCTTTTATCAGATTTTTAATTTTATTTTCCATTGTGTTAATTTTATTTTCCATTTTATTTTCCATTGTGTCCAGCTTCTTACTATGTTCATCAAATTTCTTGACCAACATGTTATAGAACATGTTCATGTTAAATCCTTGATCCATTCGTGTAACTACATCCCCCTGTTCTATATTCATATCAGGTTCGCTATAACTTCTTTGTCTCATACTATTTCCTTGCCCATCTTCAGCTCCTTCTCTTTCTATTATGGTAACATCCCCTTGATTCTCTTCAATATTATTGTTTCCCATTTCAAAGTTATTTTCCCCATAATTTGGCTGTTCTTCCCCTAAATTGTCAGAACTATGCCTTACTTCTAGTCCTGCTTCCCCTTG